TATTCTGGTAGATTCTATTTTTAAATTGTTTTACAACAATATTCTGGTAGATTCTATTTTTAAATTGTTTTACAACAATATTCTGGTAGATTCTATTTTTAAATTGTTTTACAGCAATACCCTGGTAGATTCTATTTTTAAATTGTTTTACAACAATACCCTGGTAGATTCTATTTTTAAATTGTTTTACAACAATACCCTAGTAGATTCTATTTTTAAATTGTTTTACAACAATACCCTAGTAGATTCTATTTTTAAATTGTTTTACAGCAATACCCTAGTAGATTCTATTTTTAAATTGTTTTACAACAATACCCTGGTAAAGTCCAACTTTAAAAGAGTTTTACAACAATACCCTAGTAGATTATATTTTTAAATTGTTTTACAGCAATACCCTAGTAGATTCTATTTTTAAATTGTTTTACAACAATACCCTAGTAGATTCTATTTTTAAATTGTTTTACAACAATACCCTGGTAAAGTCCAACTTTAAAAGAGTTTTACAACAATACCCTAGTAACTTCTAGTTTTATAGCAACAGCTCACCGTTAGCTGACTGCATTAATTTCAGTTTTTTAAAAATGATGTTTAATTAGAAAAAACATTCAATACATAATTACTGGTTGGACTAATCTTGAAGCCTTTAGCTATTAAGAAAAGTAAGATCGTATTTCAAAACACCATGAATTATGTCTGGACCAACAATTACATCTCTAAAAATAAATATATAACCAAATCATACGTGGTTTTAGATATAAATTTATCAGCTGGATCATTGAATGTCTTCCAGATTGTCTTACGTAAACATCAGGCGGACTGGTTTGATTCTAAATCTACGTGTGAGACAGGATAGATGGGGTACCAGCAGATAAGTAACCTCGAAAAGTCCAGCCGATCAAGCTGGATATCAGCTCCTCCTAGTGGCTGGTTATGTTCAAATCCTTTCTGCCGTTCCCACACCATTACCTAGAAAATAAAATAAAACATGGGAAACAATGTAGTTGGGTTACAAAACAATTCACTGACTTTTTTACGTGTTTCCTAAATATAACAATAAAGCAATGGCTATTTTACAATTTGCTGATTCTATTCGACGCCTCTTTCTATTAATCAAATTATTGATTTCACAGTAAGTCAGAGACGAAAGAGTTAATCGAAAATGCTTTTTTATTCATATTGTATTTCTGTGCAACCGCACTGTTGAAACGAGCGCAAGAAAACCGTCATCCTCGTGTACTAGATGTACTATGGAAAGCATTCAGAGAGCAATGTGTGTGCTTTTGACATGACAACCTTAATACAGAGTTTTTTGTAATGGAAACTAGCTGCAAGTACGGTTGTTAGATAGAGCATGACCAAACGTCGCGACGTGGATTGTAACGACGTGTAGAGGCTCCAAAATCATTGTAAAATAAGTTGCTCGACTTCCGTATATACTTCTCTAGGGTACGTTCTCCCTGGTGGCTCAGAGGTAATCTTGAGGGTTTGTTACTCTCAAAATTAAGGCTCGATCCCTTCCGTGGGCACAGCGCAAGACGATTGTTTAGTATTTTTGCGCTAAATAAGCAACACAACTCTAGAATTTTCTGTAATTAGCGTTAGCGTGGTAATTAAGAGCGCCATCTTGAGGTTAATTTTAAAATAAAACAATCTTTATATTTTTAGTTGCAACTGAATGGCGAATGTCGTGTCTCAATGATTTTAAACATATAGCTCTTACAAATCTCGTTCATGCAGACTTACCGACAGTGAAAAACACACTGTAGTGTATAATAATAATCGCTTTTCAAGAGACTTATGTCTACTCTGCTTTATTTATTTTTTGTTTGTTTGTTGAATTTCGCGGAAAGCTACGCGAGGGCTATCTGAGTTTAGCCGTCCCTAATTTCTAGCTGGTGGACTAGGAAGTATCTATCAGCAACCCTTGAGCTACTCTTGTCATACCGAATAGTGGGACTTGACTGTCTCTCTCATAACGCATTCAAGGCTCCAAACAGGAAACATTTGAGCCACACTCTGCCACGCTAACCATTGGTTTTCGCCCAGACCACACTTTGTATATCAAGAGCAGTATTAATTTTTAAAAAGCTGAAAAAAACAACAACTTGAAATACAGCAAAAGTTTGCTATTTTACATACCAGCAGGTGGCGACCTTGAATACTTGAAGCATTATATTTTAGAGTTTGACGGTACTGCGGCTCTGAAGAGTGTCGTACTACCCTTGTCTTTCTCTTCTGCATCTGTCTTTCTCCTTCTTTCAGATATGTCTTCACATAGGTATCTTGGTTGAAAGAAATATTGGGAATAATTATTGAAGTCTCCGATTCGATCTTTATAAAACTTTTATTTTTCTACACCAAACCTGTTTTGGTAGATCAAAGTCTTACTTAGCACTATAAAAATAAACGAACTGCCCATTAGTAACTAGATCCCTTGGTGAAGAACGGTTCTAATGCTAAATAAACATCGAACCTTACGTGAGTTCACGAGATTTCAATTTTTGTAAGATCGGCTGGGACGGTAGAATTGTTTATTGAGTAAAAGCCAAGTGATTTTAAACGTCGAAGAAATCACTAATAGATCACGAATTTAAGAAAGTATAAAACAATAGGTCCCGTTTTTAGGATATGGATCTTTTGATAAGATTCAAATTGAAGTGTAACCAATCACAATGCTAAGCAGCCATATTGAACCAATCACACCGCAAAGCAACAAAACTGAACTAATAACATTGATAAGCAACCAAACCGAATCAATTACAATTGTTAAGCAACCAAACTGACGGAAACAGACAATGACTCAGTTGGACAGACTTGAACTTCTTGAGGGATTAAAATGATTTTAACCTTTCGTGTGCTTGAGTAACCTTTTAGTAAGAGCTTTCTTTTGATTGGTGATTAAGTGATCAATTATTAAGAGCTTTCTTTTGATTGGTGATTAAGTAACTATTTAGTAAAAGAGCTTTCTTTTGATTGGTGATTAAGTAACTATTTAGTAAAAGCTTTCTTTTATTGGTGATTAAGTAACTATTTAGTACGAGCTTTCTTTTGATTGGTGATTAAGTAACTATTTAGTAAAAGCTTTCTTTTGATTGGTGATTAAGTAACTATTTAGTAAAAGCTTTCTTTTGATTGGTGATTAAGTAAATAATTATTAAGAAGCACTTTCTTTGTTCTCAATTTCATACACTGAAAACACATTTTGTATATTTGTTGCTTTACCCTAGCTAAGTAACATGTAGATATTTAATTGTGATATTAATGTAAATCTATCATGATGAAACTTTTACAGGAATGAAATAAATCAAATAAATCACTGTATCTTACATGAAATATTAATATCTACTATAAGCACAAGATACCTTATCTAATAGCATTTAAACCTCACTTGCTGGCTTTATAAACAAAAACTTGCATACATAAATAGTTGAAAGAAAAAAAATCATTTAAAGATGCATTGCATTATATTTTGTAACGAAAGAATTTCACCAGGGGGCTGTCCTGCTGCATTTAACTTCAACTGACGGGCACATATAACACGGACTTCTAGCTGTCCTTTAGTCATCAGAAATCCAAGCTTGATGTCTCCCAAAGTTGCCGCTAGGGGAACGTGGAAAAAAAGGGCAATTTTGTAAATATTGTTAGGTTTTTTTTTAGTTAGTGAAATAGATTCAATAAAATGTATATAAAACAATCAAAACAAAAATATCATAAATTAAATAGAGACAATAAAGTGTACAAAAACATTTAAATAAAAGTAAGCAAAACAGAAGTCGTGTATATTGTATGAAAAATAAACACCACAAAAACTGCATGAAACTATAATAAAATGTTTATGCCAAGAACAGTTAGATGTCGCCACTAAAAGCTATAGGAAAATAGTCAACAAAACCTAAACCATTATATCAGAAACTAAAATGAAGTAGCCTAGAAACATCCGTGACTATTTCACCATAAGTTACAATAAAGATGCCAACAATATTTGTAACCGTTTCACCATAAGTTACAATAAAGATGTCAACAATATTTGTAACCGTTTCACCCGATATTACAATAAAGATGTCAACAATATTTGTAACCGTTTCACCATAAGTTACAATAAAGATGCCAACAATATTTGTAACAGTTTCACCTGAAGTTACAATAGAGATGCCAACAATATTTGTAACCGTTTCACCACAAGATACAATAAAGATGCCAACAATATTTGTAACATTATTTAATTTTATTATACTTTAAATACGGATGAAAAAGCTGTTTTGATATGAACTTTTACCTCCGCTGATATTTATTTTTCCGAAGAACACTTGACCAGGACCACGACGGATTCCATTTGGTCCAAACGTCATTATCGGCACCTCGTTTTCTGACGTCACATCCGGTTTTGAGAGTGCTGACGCCATTGCTATGAAACGGAAAATTTAAACTAGAGCGGTAAACGAAAGGTGAGATTATCTTTATAAAAACTTATTTATTTTTATAGGTGCTACTGGGATTGTGCCTGATTCGATCCCGCTAAAGTACGGATATGAACTTAAAATACCTTATGGTTTGCATTAACTTTATAAAAGTCAAGGCCCTGCACACCATTACTGTAGGTACAAATTAGCATATGTTATTTAACTCGACTATATTCAGTATCTAAATGGCCATATCAAATAAGATCCCAACTGTTAACTTCTCTTTTGAATAATGTGTTTTTCATGATTAAAACCAGAATCACATTAAACGACCAGTTCCAAGACTTTGATGTTGATGGTAAAGTTACAGAAAACTGAAACAAAACAAGGGATATATAAATATCGTTTCTATTCACTTACTGCGAGGTAATTAAGTAGATCGAAATTGTAAGTAGTTTTATTGTTTTATTTTTCTTTAAACATTTTATTCGAAGCTATACAACGATCTTCAGAGCGTGAGATCATGTATCTATAAAACCAGGATCCTAGGCTTAGGATGGAACACATGACAGTAAACTACTGTTCATATCCTACCTAGGCCCACGTGTTTCTTGGTCCTATTCGTCCTCAGGCTGAGGGTTCGAGTCAGATTTTTCTTAGCCGTTTTATCTAAAATCCCAGACTCTGGTGACTTTTCTTGAAATATTGGTAAAAAAACAACAACATTTTAAATTGTCTTAAGGACTGGCACATCGATACACAACCGATCATATATTTAACATTACATTTAAACAACATAAGTTATTTCACTGCAGTTTTAAGAAAAATGTGTGTAATGTTTTAATAAACACTTTTTGATTAGTGTAATATTAATAATCATTTGATACAAATTTAAAAAAAAATGTTTTTTTAGTTTGTCCTCACACGAATTGACCATAATAGAAAATAAAACTAATTTTACGTTATTGATTATAGTATTTTGGCACTTGTGTGTAAAGTTAAAATCATAAATAATATTCAAC